ATAACGCGTCACCAAAGTCCATTTTGCAGAAAACGTAGCTCTCTCCTTCGAACAATGTTGCCAAATTTCAGATATAATCACTATGCTCCATTTTTATACCCGAAATAATTCACAAAATAATTTTAAAAAATGACAAAATATAGATCAAAACTAATAAACTGGTTAAACAAATTTTACTTTGTGCTTATAGTAAAGATAAAAAGCTCATACACCTCTTATTATTTCACACCATGACTATTACTATCTGAGATATAATAGATAGATAGGATGGGGAAACACTGTCGTGGGAAGAAACTTTTTTAACTGATTTTACAGAACTATTTTATTACTTAAAAGTAAGGTACCTATTTTGCTGGCATAGGATCTTCAAGTTTATTAGATGTACTCCCTACAATCCTCACAATAATATTGCTTACATTGTTTCATAGAAGCGCTGAAATCGATACTGTACTATCTAGTACTAGTAGTATGCATCATCATGAAAATCCTTATCGTCCTGTATAGAAATAGACATTTTCCTACAATCTATTGACATTCTCGCATAGTGCGGGAATTGTTCACTTTGCGCACGCGATTTGATTAATTCTTAAACGATTGTAGGAAAAACGTTGTTCCTAACATACGCGCGAAGGTGATTCCGAAACGAAAGTAGCGCACTTGTTAGGAAAATAACTGTACCGTATGAGAGCGCCAATTGAAACCGTTTATACTAAACCTTTTTTTTAAAGGTTGAAGTCCATGGCTACTATCTACTTAAACTGAGAAGCAGTCCCATTTCGTTATAAATCTGTTATGGATTCACATTTTTACATGCATCTGCAAGTTGAAATATATGTGTACAAATGTATGTAAAGAGCACTTATCACGTATTGTTTATTAAACTCAAACAAGAAACTCTCTGTACCTGACCTTTGGACTGTCCTGTTTTAATAAATATAGCTTATTGCGACAGTTTGTGACCATTCACTGCGTGTTCTGCCACAACAGAAAAAAACATTACCAGAAATAACATTGTACTCACTCAGATTCTGGAGTGGTTGGTGTTTGACTCTGTGTACTTGAGTGGCCAGAATATCGAGGATTTGCTCTATCAGCAGGTACCGATACACTTCTGTTAAATTCTGTATTTAACCTCACACTTTTCTTGCGTTCCCCTGCAAGACACATAAACTAATTTTACTTCGCATAACAGGTTGTTATACGAACCGAGAAAGGGGTCATCCAAAAGTTGCTGAGCAGTGGCTCGACTATCAGGATCAGGTTCAAAGCAACGAAGTATAAATGACCGAGCTCGATCTGACAACTCTTCTGGTACTCGAGGATGTACTTTATAATAACCAACCTTAAATATGGCAGCTTGGGGAGATCCTAGTTCGATGAATGGAGGTTTCCCTAAAATAAATAGCAAAATGAAAAATAATTGGTGAATTGGTGAATATGGAGAAATGAAGAGGATTGTTCAAACATGCAATACACCATGATACAATAGTATATTAAGATGAAAGTGTATAATCAAGTCTTTAAAGCACGCGCAACGAGTTTAAGGGCACGACGCGAAGCGGAGTGTTTTTAACGTTGCAAGTGCTTTAAACACCAATTATACACGTGTATCTTATAGTATTTTTTATTATACATGCCGTATAATTTAAAAATAGGAAATACAATGAAATCATATTGACTAAATCTAAACAAACGTTGGTAGGCGTAAAATCCAAATCCAGCAAAGCCTATTATAAAGACTCTGAAAAGTTGTTTCCATGCATGAATAGGAAGTTGCTTACGAATAAAGTCTTAAGTGCATCAATAATGCTTGCATATATGAAGGAATTGTCAAAGGTATTTAAATCTTCTATCTTTTGGTGCATTCATTCAAAACTTCAAACAATGCTGCGATTAAAAAGTGGAACAGATTTGGAAGCATACCCTAAATTACGCGCGTTTGTGAAACCTTCAACCAAAGGATAGGTACAAGCCAAAGAAATGTTCCGCATTTACAGAAAGCGACCTAAGAGGATTTTTTATTTCACCCAGATGACAGTTTCAAAAGTCTACTTGAAGTATCATTACTTAGCAATTTTAAAACACGTGTGTTTTAAAGGCCTTTTTTCGCACGCATTAGTGTTTAAAACGGAGATTGTGATTCAGGTATAATAAAAAAAATTTTACATCTCCCTTGAGTCGGTAATGTCTAATCTTGCAATTCCAATATAATGCACAAGATGGTTTATTTATGCGAAGAATTGAGATCTCTGAAGCCAGCTTTAAATAGTCAAACTTGTATGTACGTGTAATTTTACGTGTAGAAAAACGTATAAAATTACACTTAGAATTTTGACCATGTAAAGATGACTTCATATGCCATGTGTAAAAAATAAAAATGAACAACATGAAGATCTCGAAAATTGTATATGTTACAAAGCCGAAAAAAGTTTCATAATTAAGGGTTATTTTATTTATACATATTTGCAAAAGTAAAACAAAAACACTAATAAACTACAATAATATATTAAAATATCGAACTCCTTTCAAAACAAGGCTAACTTCATACAATATAAAGTATGAAGTTGGGATAAAAGACGTCACACTGTGATTTACACCATACGCGTCGAACCATGTTTCAATAATTATTATAAGAGATTTGGAGGGCGCAGAAAATTTCTAGGTGATTGCAGATGAATTTTTATGTGTTTTAATGGTCATGGTAGCTATAGATATTTGTTAGAACGTATTTGTTAATTGGTCGCAAAGGTTACACAATGAATAGAAATGTGCATGGAAACACAACAAAAATTATTAAGGGAAGGCCTCTAGTGGGTGAGTGGGTAGAATATTGTGGCTTTATTAACGCGCATATTCAAAATTTATTGTCGAGGCATGTTGAAGGACTCTTTTAAGACTACAACCTAAAAATATTTTCAACAAAATCCCTTTATATTATTGTATATTTCGATTCCTTGGTCAATTTTAGTGTGACTTTATGTTATTACACATATCTAAAATAAGTTATTTGGTACGTTCAACCGACACAACTGTTGAGTATGTTGAGACGTTGACTTACCTGAACGATGAATAGTAAATTCTGGTGGAAGTCAATAGTTGGTAATAATTGGCACCACAAATTTGCGGTGTCAACAGAACCGTTCAGGCATATGTTGACGTTTGCTACTGGAACGTCGTTTACAGTGATAGTCAACAGTTGCGTCGGATGAAAATACCCATTTACTTATAGCCCAAGAGCCCACGACGGCCAGACCTTCGTCATTTTATAAAAGCTAAAAGTTTTTCTGTTATTGCCTCTAACACAGGTAAGAACGATCAGCGAGTATAGAATTTGAGTTGTGGTTACTTACGCAGGTAACAGGTAGTAAAGGGGTATAAAATGGTACATCAAATTTGTTAAAGTATAAAGGTCAAATTTTCTATATTTTCTTCGTATTAACATTAGAAATTACGTCATCCATTGCCGGACACTTAGTATAGTTGCAACCCCCTGCCAGACACCCCTAAACATTAAAAAATTATGATTGTACTTTCGTTATAGTATAAAAGCTGAACTTTAAATGTTACTTGGGGACCTATAGAAAGATGTTACCTCCATAGCCGGACAGTTTTAATGGTTTCTACATCTTGCCAGACACGTTGAAAGTCTGCTATAGGTGCGAGCGCGAGGCGACAACTGTTCAGGTGAATGCGATTGAGACAGTGTGTTTAGCCTATTGTAATTGTTCAATTCCAATAAAAAAAGTTTTATTATATTCATAGCTATTTTATACAAAGTAAGAAATATAGTACAAAATAAATAAAAAATTCTCAATCATTTCTTTCTTCAATTACGTCGATGTCAATATGTTCATTCTCATCGTTACTCCAGTCCATAGCTTGATCGTCGTCAATACCGTCTTCTTCATCAGTTTCTGAAAGAAAATTTACCAAATTTAGAAAGTCATGATCAACTACAAAATTATGTACCTACCTATAATCATTTGACATAATAATTGCAAACCTGATTGAATTTGGAGTGAATCACTGACATAAATTGGTAGTTGATCTCCTTCAAACCATTTAAATTGGTATTTGTCATTTTTCAGTACCCAACCATTATTGTCTGGTTGATATATGGTTGGATTTTTCATATGAGCATTGTTCCAAATGGTACATATGTAAAGCTCGCAGAAATTGCTGCAATAACTCGCTTTTGCAAGGTGGTAAATTGCTAGCGTCAAAATTTCTCAACTTCTTTCAGTCAAAAGCTTCGTTTACATCAAACACTGTATACGAGTCGATGAACATTTGAAGTCGAGCGGCATCAACATCAATTATATTACCAATATTGTATACATGGCATATAAATCTCTGAATAATGTTATAAACGTTTTGTTGTTTGACTCTATTTTCAATTAATTCACTGTCACCGAAGTTCATGAAAGCTTCCTGGTACTCTAGACATTTTTTTAATATATTATACGGTTTTAATTTTCCTTTCCTGAAGAATGCAGGATTGTAATCGCATCCTGTGATGGCGTGAAATCCAGGTAAGCTCTGACAAATTGATTGTCCCAATTGTGCGTGTATTTTCGTCAGGTTCACATATTTTAATTTATTTCCAGTACCTGTAAGAATCCAAACAACCGAATCATTTTTAAGGCGGTGCATATGACCAAGCATTATAGCAACAATATCAGTATCAACACTTCTGATTACTATTTCTGCTCGATAGTCAACGCTGCATGCATGAAATACCACTTTAGTATCGGCTTCCTCGTGTGCTGGGCATGACAGCGCTTCATCAACACATGAGAAAACTGTTGGAATCGTTAACAATGAAAGAATGACATTGTTTGAAATTGATGTGGATAATTTTGTTGCCAATAAATGGTACCACATCATCAGTAGCCCAATGTAAAATAAAAAAATTAACCAGAGCTTCTTTGAAATTTAGATTTTTCAACTCTTTCGTGAAGTCACTTGATCGAACTTGGTCAGGTCCAGTTATGGTGTACCTACTCTAATTGCGTAGATTCAAACCGTTGGGAATGCTCGTAATCTTTGATGGATGGTGTAAAGTACTGATCAAAGATCACGTCAATTCTCGATGCTTGTAATTGAGTAACCATTTGCAAAAATTTACCATGTGAATGACAGATGATGCGCGGTAAAAGATCGCAGTAGGCTAAACGCGCTGTCTCACTCGCATTCACGTGAACAGTTGTCGCCTCGCGCTCGCACCTATAGCAGACTTTCAACGTGTCTGGCAAGATGTAGAAACCATTAAAACTGTCCGGCTATGGAGGTAACATCTTTCTATAGGTCCCCAAGTAACATATATAAAGTTCAGCTTTTATACTATAACGAAAGTACAATCATAATTTTTTAATGTTTAGGGGTGTCTGGCAGGGGGTTGCAACTATACTAAGTGTCCGGCAATGGATGACGTAATTTCTAATGTTAATACGAAGAAAATATAGAAAATGTGAGCTTTATACTTTAACAAATTTGATGTAACATTTTATACACCTTTACTACCTGTTATCTGCGTAAGTAACCACAACTCAAATTCTATACTCGCTGATCGTTCTTACCTGTGTTAGAGGCACTAACAGAAAAACTTTTAGCTTTTATAAAATGACGAAGGTCTGGCCGTCGTGGGCTCTTACCCTATTAGCTGTAATTCGTTATTTTTTTAAAAAGTAGATGTCCAGTAGTAATTGAATATCGCAGTTATCATAAAACTTAGAGACGCTGCAGTTTTACTAACCATGAAATGACTAACAACTTTTTTTGCTAGGCTACCTTCCGCTAGTCAGCCCTAGCTCACCAAGCGATCTGACCCAATAACAGCCGATCGACTATGGTCGGTTAACAATGACCTGTGTGTGTTGTCACCACTTCAAATAACTCAAGTACAGATCTTCTCTCAGGGCACAAACACGAGGGTGTTGTCTTTAGCTTCGATTCTCACTTGGGACCTCCTTGATCACTGAGCCACTCAAGTCCCACAACCATGTCAAGGTCCAACAAGGTGCAAGGAAAATTTCAAAGGTAACTTGATTTTTTAAAATGAAACTGCAAAGTTTTGTTTATTGCTTCAAATGTAGCATTTGATTACCTTTTTAACGATGTAAGCATATTCTTTGTAATTCAACATTTTCTAATAATTCAGTGTTTTTTTTATTTTCAAAGCCTCTCAGTAATTAGTAAACTTTTGAATAATAAGCCATAAAAAGCCATATTGAAAAACATTAAAAGGAAATTAAATGAAATAACATTTTTATTATACCTGAATCACAATCTCCGTTTTAAACACTCAAATGTGTGTGAAAAAGGGCCTTTAAAACACACGTGCTTTAAAGTTGCTAAGTAACGATACTTCAAGTATGACTTTTGAAACTGTCATCTGGATGAAATAAAAAATCCTCTTAGGTCGCTTTCTGTAAAGAACATTTCTTTGGCTTTTGTACCCATCCTTTGGTTGAAGCTTTCACAAACGCGCGTAATTTAGGGTATGCTTCCAAATCTGTTCCACTTTTTAATCGCAGCATTACTTTAAAGTAATATAATAATAATATAATATAATATAATATAATATAATATGGAAGATTTAAATACCTTTGACATTTCCTTCATATATGCCAGCATTATGGATGCATTTAAGACTGTATTCGTAAGTAACTTCCTATTCGTCCATGGAAACAACTTTTCATATTCTTTATAATAGGCTTTACTGGAGTTGGATTTTACACCTACCAACGTTTGTTTAGATTTTACAACAACCGATTTAATGGACGGTGTATTATTTTTTTCACTTATAATTGCACAAGAGGTTTGTATTTTACCGAGTAAATTTGGGTTGTTTAGGTAATGAAAATCTGTTGCCTAGCAATTAGACGAGAAAAACTGTCAACTAATAAAAATGCGACACCGCAGGTGGAGCATTTTTAGGTTGACAGTTTTTTCGAGTCCAATTGCTAAAAGGAAACAGATTTGAATTGCCACAATCCAAATTTATTCGGTTTAAATACAAACCTCGAGTGTAATTCGGCAGGACAATTTAACGAACAAGAAATTCACCAAACTAATCAATTATTGACAGACGTCAAACTACTCATATGGGTAAGGATAATGCGATTATTGGTTCGAAAATGAATAAGTGAAAAAACCACTAGTGCATTTGTCGCTGGAAAAGTTGCAGGTAACTTTTGCCGCTGTCAAAGTGACAATTGCACTGCGGCTTATGCGATTTTTTATACATGAGTTGAATTGTCAACGGAAATCGTTTTATTCACAAAGACGATAATTTTTATAAGCAAACGTCAAGTGACATTTCCATGGCAATCGTGAAATTACGAACACCCAGCCCACTTAATTAGACATGTATATTTGAGTATAACGTCAATATGATTTCATTGTATTTTCTATTTTTAAATTATACTGCAGGTATAATAAAAAATACTATAAGATACACGTGTATAATTGGTCTTTAAAGCACTTGCACCGTTAAAGGCACTCCGCTTTGCGTCGTACTATCCTTGTTTCTAACCGCATTGATATATGATTAAATTGAAGTATTAAAACAAAACATAATCTCCTTGTGCTGTCATTGTCACGTTTGGCAAGCATGTACTGTATGTCCATAAGCACCATACTGCATGTGGAGGTGCGAACGTGCTATAGTAACACTGCAGAGCCACAGCCTTCTAAGTTTTATGATAACTGAAATATTCAGTTTTCAGAGGACATCTACTTCCTAAAAAAACTTGCTGTGGCTAGCAGATACCACCTGCACACCTAAGCATGCGCGATTCTGCTCTTTTATGTCTAGGAATATGTGTACCAAATTTGGTTCCAATTGGTTCAGCTGTTTAGCCGGAAATGAGAGTACAGACAGACCAATTGTGCCTTTATCTTCAGCCTGTGAATTAAATAATTTGGTTGTTTTGCGATGCAAGTGATACAACAGTATTATTACTGTTTGAGAGCAATTAAGTAAATATTAAGTAAGTAATCATTATTGGAAATTATCAAACAATGAGTTAAGCAAACATAAAAATGTTATTTAAATTGTGGAAATAAAATTATTAACAAATATTTTTTTCATCAATCAAATAACATAACAACCAGTTTTATTAACTTATTAATGTTTGCACTGACAAATTTAAGCGGAGCTTAAAATCTATGGCAACCAATGTCTCAATAATCGTTGCCATGGATTTTAAGCTCCGCCTAAAAATTTGTCTGTGCATACGGCAACATAAATTCCTACATGATTGATGTTTATTGTTTGTTAAACAAAAATCCCTTTATTAATTGAAATATTTCTTTCAGTGCAATTGAATTGTTCGTTAGGTTATATTTATTTATTATCCCTCTCTTGTTCTGGGCCCTCAACAGGCTTGCGCTCAATTACAGAATGACCCACATAATGCTTTTTAGAGGTGCCTTATACAGTGTAAATGCATGTACCCCATGCATATAACAAGCACTTTTTAAACAATTTAATTTAATGTCTAATGCAAAAACAAAAAACCTAAAAATGAAGAAATATAATATTGGTTGTTATTTAAAATGGTTAAAATATAAAATTTTAGAACAAAAAAATTTAAACAGCTTAACAAATAAAATATAGGAAGATGTTTGATTAAGTTAATATAGTCCGTTAACCGAAACAAATGGGGCTGGTGGCGTTTAGGTACATGCAGTAAAATGCAATTATTTTTTAACAGTGCAATAGGTATACTGTTCATTGAATGTTGAAAAGTTTCTCCATTTTTCTTTGGTGTTTCGGTCTTTTCGAATAAACACGATTTTGGTTACTAGAGATTTGGTTAGTTAGTTAAATTTCGACTTGCTACTGTATATGTTTACTCCTTTCTTTCTTTTATTAAAAAAAATATGTATATGAATTTTACATTATAAGTTGTAAATGTAAGGAATTTACCTGTGGCCATTTCGACAACAGTGCATCCTAGAGACCAAATATCAGCAGGAGCTCCATACCCTCTTTGACCTTTGTCTATCACTTCTGGAGCCATGTACTGTAGAGTTCCGGCGAAAGTTTCTGTGCTCGTACAAAGTCCGGCTAATCTTTTCGAAGTACCAAAGTCTGATATTTTCACAACTCCACTGTAGGTGTTCACTAATACATTGTCACCTTTGATATCACGATGCACAATTTTCTGATCGTGCAAATACTTCAACCCTTCTAAAATCTGACGTGTGTAATACGCAATCGTATGCTCGTTTTCTTTAAGCGGGCCCCACTTAGAGCGTAAAAGTGCGCTAAGGGAACCTCCAGGTACTTGTTCCATAAATATTTTAAAATAATTATTTTCAGAAAGTGAACCCAAATATTGGACTATATTCCGATGGCGTAATTGAGAGTGAAGACGTATCTCTTCGTGTAACGGTTGCACAGCACCCAAATTTTTCTCAGGCACCTCCTTTACGGCGATACGAACTTGTGTGTTGAGATCACGAGCAGCGTAAACGACACCGTAGGTACCCTTGCCTAGAATTACCCGCTTGGACAGCTCGTCCATTTCATACTCAAAACGAATCTCGCGTGGAGGTTCCATCTCCACTAATCCTTCTTGGTCAACTGTTAGTTCCAAGATCAGACTGTGAATTCGTTCTCTGCGACAAATTTGAATTAGATTCATATTTACATGATGAAATTTTTACCTGCACGCCTCGGATGGCAAAAAAATTTGAAAATCGTCTGAATTTTGATTTACATATAAAAACAGGCAACGGTCATCACGTTTGTAAAGACTGACGCTACGTATCATTGCGGCAGTAAATTCGAAGTCGTGCATTTGTGTGCAGGTGCCACGTAAACTTTCCACACATAAATTAGTTACCTACGAAGACACATAAACATACTGCGGTAGAAATGAAAATTTAAAATACTTGTAAAGACTTTTGTTCGGTTTCCAGATTAACACAAACATACGTAGGCATTAGTTCCTTGCTTGGCTCAAGAACCAAAGCCGGAAATCTAATACTATCATCTGCAGGAGCACGAGTAGCTTCAAGAAAAAATTCCATCCAAAAATGAAAAATCTGCAAACATTTCGTGCGTAAGTACTTCCCACTCAATAAACATACAGACTTGTTCTTCAGGTGAGCGTTCGTCATCCTTCCTCCGACGAAATCTATCGATCAACTCGATATTCCCAATAGTCGACTTGAGATACCAATCCGGCGGTTTGAGCTTGAACATACATTCGGCGGCCTGAACTGCATTAGTGTAATGTTGCACCAAAACCGAAATTTCAAAAAACGTAGCGACATCCCAGTAATCTTGTAACGATTCCAAACTGCCCTTTTTGCCGATTAGATTATTTAAAACCATTCCGATGTGTTGTAATTCCTCGGACTTTCCTATTTCGGCCCCAAGAATAACTAGGAGAGTAGCCAGATTAATACCTGAAAATTG